GTTTCAAGTCTTCTTCAGTACAGCAATACAGCAATCTTTGTGTGCATTTACAGCTGCACACACAATAAAACCTTAAAACTATAATTATCAATGACATCTGTATATATTTGCTGACTTTTTTAGATGTAAAAAGCCAATAAAGAACACATGAAGAAACTATGGTTATCGAGTAAAATAACCTGCCAAAAGGCTAGCTTACCAATTTTCTAGGCTTTCATGGGCCAAGGTTGAAGAGGAGACATGCTTACAAAGGCACACCTTGAGCCTCCATAAAACTTTAAACTGCTGTCTTGCCCACCGTGATGAATAATGGCTTTGTTGTCCTTGGTTGCAAAACCATCTTGCCTGAGAAAACAGAAAAGCATCCAGATAGATTTATTTTAAAAGCCACCAGGACTCTGGAAGCTGCACTCATTCTGCACAGCCAGTCCCTCTGACTAACAAAAATAAAAATTCATGCTGGAATTATGCAAGCTGAGCCGTTGGAGGACACATTGCTTTGGTGAGCGTTCGCCAAACGCTCCAGAGCAGCAACTGATTACACAGCATTTAGAGTTAAAGGTTTGGATAGAAAGGCTGCTGGCAGAGGAAATCGACCTGGCTAAGAGATGTCAACATGTGTCAGTGAATGCAGCTTGTTTTGATGGCGCCTCTTTATTGGCAACCCCTCTCTGTGTTTTAGTATTAACCCAACAAACAAATTGACCCCCCCCCCCCCCCCCCAAAGCGCAACATCACTGTGTCAAAGTAAGATCTGATTTTACTCTATTGAGGATTCCTTGCAGACTATTTATATGTGGCCCTAAAGGCTTAACTTAATGATTAGCTAGAGGCTACAAAGCTGACTTTGTGCAGTTCATTTTCTCTCATTGTCAACAAATTCAACAAGAGTCCATTTTTTAACAGGTTCACACCAGCTGCGATGCCAAATTGGGCCAGGAGCGTAAAGTAGGGGGACAAAGGTAGCCCCGCCCTAAAGCATCCCCTGCTTTATGGTCTGTTTGACTCTAAATGGACCATAATGTACTAAATGAACATCATGCTGTATTGAAGAAGACTTGAAACTAGAGATTGAGACCATAAACTCATGTTTACAATGTTTACTGAGGTAATAAATCAAGAGAGAAGTAGTCATGTTCTCAGACTTCTATACAATCGGACATCTTTTTGCCTGAAGTGTTTACACTTTTACTTTTTTTTTGGCATATCAACTTTCCCTCAACTTATTCGTCTGCTTCTATTTCTGTCAGTGACTTCTCACCTCATCTCTCCAGAGAAGGAACTTACAGGAATATATTCATATGTGGAGAGGAAAACAGACGGCACAGCTAGAGCCAGAGTTTTTACCAGTCACATGAAGAGTTGTAGCCCTCGCCAAAAATGCAGCATGTCTTGTCTCAGCATTGCATTCTGGTCTATGGAGGCAGCTGTCAGTGCGAAGCTGTTATCTCTGCCTCTCTGTGATGGATCCCTCCCAGTGTGATCGCTGAACGCCTGTGAAAATAGTTCGTCTGGAAAGAAGCCTCTCCTCTTTGATTCGGAGGGGCTGACGCCGAGACCTGACATTTACTGTTGATGTTATATATAGTTGAAGATATTTCTGCTGTCAGGCCTCATTGTAGCTGCTCTGGAAATATCTTGACATGAGATCACAGTCTCCATGACTGGCCCTGTTATCCATAGAAATAAAATAAAAACATTACATAAAAATGGGACCAGATATGTAGGCTACATCAGACGCTTTGGGTGTTTTCTTTCTTCCCTTTTTGGTTTCAGCATTTCAAGTACAAAATGGATCGAAATGTCATTGAATGGAAGCCAGTGAGGCTCCTCCTAAAGCAGTTTGTGAATACTGGTTTTGGAGGAGCACCAGTGCAGAAGTGACCCATTATCACAGGTTAGATAAGGCATAAATGGCTGGTGTGATCTCAGAGGGCCTGCAGATTGATCCACTCTGAGTCACCCCTGCACTGCATGTTGAAACTAATTACCACTGAGGCAGAATCTATTGCAGTGCTGAGATGCCACTGACACACGGCATCAGAAAAAATAACATGTTAAACCAGACAAGTCCTGTTATTACCAGAGGTGCACTCAGACTGTTTGTCCGAGCATCAAATGTGTAAGTTAAGTGGATCAGCCGAGATAGATAACCACTAGAGCACGAAATGACCAGATGACACGACCGCATGCTCCACGGACTGTTTCTACAAGAGGGAAATACAACACAACACTGACTCCTGCATTTAGATTGTAAATGCACACTGAACGTCAGTAATAAACACCTTCCACTGACGTCCAGTGCCTGAAAACACAATATTTTTGGCAGTAGTGTCTAAGTTTATGCATCGTCATACAGCACTAAGTTTAATTAATTAATTAATTAAATTAATTAATTTTAGTTGTCACTGAGTATATTGTATTTTGCATATGAAAATAAAATGTACGATTTCTTTACATTTGACCAGTTTGAGAAGTCTTTCTGCCGTTTAAGGTTTAACCTCTCAGGAGATGTACATCCACATTGTTGCATTGTGACCTTCTCATGCTACACGTGGAGCGTGTGTGAGACTGGCTATGACTGTGTGTCTTTATATTTTTATTACAGGAGTTTCTAATTATATTGATACAGATGAAAGTATCTTAACTGAGAGAATGATGAGCGATTATTATTTAATTTTTCCTACATACGTTTTTCTGTCACATTTATACGTCTGATAGATTTCCACTTATTAAGGATGTTTCAAGAAAACTGAATGTGGCCCAGACAATGACTCGTCAGTATAAGCCTTGTTTGTTCTGGATGCAAATAAGCCTGAAGACATTGTATTTTACACAACTCCTAAAATAATGAAAAATGTGTTTTTATTGACTGTGTTGTATACTTTAAGTACCAGTTTTGAATGTATGAAATCCAAAGCAGCTGATCATATTTTGATGAGCTATCACTTGTGATTTCTGCCATTAGATAAATACTGTTTCCCCAGACAAGACTATGAGTGTGAAGATCTTTCCACACTGCAAGTCTTTGCCAGCGGCTATCAGCTGTAAGCATCTGTCTCCTCGGCCCCACAAACCCACTAAATCTCTCCTAATGACCTGTGTGCCTTACCCGAGTTCAAAAGGCTTTGATCTCAGCTGCCCAAACGAAGTGAACTAAAGGAGTAAACACTCCAGACTTCAAGCAAACGGATCCAAGTATGGATTTCTGTGGCCCGAGAGCTGCTGGATGAGTAGATTTGTGGTACAGTGTACACACCCATCTCTCAGCAGGATCTCTACGTCGCTGCAGGAATTGCCAGCGAATGCAATGAGGGGGCGTTCAGACTCGGCACAGCGAGGGGCGAACATGAATGATCCACAGACTTCAAACACTCGTAGGACTCAAGCCAGGAGCTGATCAACCGTGGCAGGGACACATGCATCGGCAAAGGTGTAGTTAAAGGTACATGTGGAATGCCTAGACACCTGCTTTAAACAGATAGGGGGCAGCATTTCACCTCTATACTGGGTCCATACATTCTACACTTACAGTTATCAGTTACAAAAATATATGTATATATAGTATATATATACATATATTATATACTGTATATTAACTAACAGCAGCAGAAGAATACTCAAATTCAACTAAACTGCTGTAACTTAAAAAATAACACGCTTCCTTTAATCTTCTCGTGTTATTCCTGTGTTGTTTTTTTGGATTTTATGTTAAGTGGCAGAACCAAGAAAACAATCCGCAACTTCATCTCTTCCTCCCCGTGGCCAGGAGTCAACCTCGCTGGAAGGAGAGCGGGCTGGTCGTGGCGGTCCTCGGGATCAGACCTGCTGGGGGTTTGCGACGGCTGAATTCCAGCTGACTGCAAACCGTCTTCGGCTTCTGACTCGCTATCGTCTCTCGAGGAACAAGTGGTATTACAAGAAAGTAGTACGATATCTCTGCAGCACAATACATTGACGTATTTGTCATAACGTTAGAACTGTACCCTCTTCACATCATTTTGATAATGTTAGTTGATTGTTTGAATGATTTAAACTAAATTTCTGGCCAGATCGTACACATCACACCTCTAAAGGTGCTCCATTTAAGATTGGGGAGCATTTCTATTGGTCAACGGCTGTCAACATGACGACGCTTAACCGGCTCACAGCTAACAGCGCCAACAGTGCTAACAACAGTGCTGACAGAGCTAACAGTGTTTACCTGAGTGGGGGCTACGCTTCTACTATAATCTGCTGTAACCGCCATACAAGCCCAGCGCAAAGCAGCAAACGTGAGCTAACTAGTGGGTCACACTCACATGTTAGAAATGCACACTTAGCTACTAGTTGCTGCTTTGTTACTGTTCTGAATCCCTTATATTGCACCTTTAAAATTCAAAAAACTAAAATACTCTTATGTTATAAACCTCTCTTTTCTTGATGTCCTTTACCAGCAATGTTTAAATATCTGGTGACGAATGGAAGTTTGAATAAACCATCAATTATAATCATTACATTCACACACTGTATAAATCCGACATGTTTGAGATGTTCGTGCCAGTCCTCTTGTGAAGTGCCCGAGCTGATTGATATGAAAGGAATTCCTTGCTGACTTACAGTCGACATCACGCTGAACTAAACTCTGGTGGGTGAAGTAAAAATGACACAATGTCATTTTGTGTATTGCATTTTCTTTAGTACTTTACATATAACGGGAAAATACAAGGGTTTATTTTCAAGAGAATACAGGAAATTGAACAGTGCTCTGTACATTAACATATTACTGTGAGTGTTGTGGGTACTTGGCACAGCTGACTGAGCCATGCACATCGTGCACAGTTTTCCAGAGGGTGGGGGAGGGGGGCATAAAGGTACAATTCAAGAAGTTCGGTTACATGTTGTAAAAAGACTAAGTTTCTATTAGCAGCTTGAAAAAAATACAAAATGAGCAATATGTGCACCACACCGTCACCAAAGCAGAATTACAAAAAAAACTTAGAATGCACAGAGGAAGGGGAAGTAGGATGTCAGAATTCTGTGAAAAATAAAATGTTTTTTGAGACGCGGGCGACATATTTACATACTGTGTCAGTAAATCAACGGGAAAAAGATAAACCCTCTATCAAAACAGTGTGTGAAGCTGCTATTAGATACTTAATCTGCCATAGTAGTGTCATCAGATTGGGCTGACCACATTAACACTGAACAGCCAGGTTTAGTTCAGAATCCTACATTCATCCTGAGAAAGCATCATTTAAGGTTCAGATTGAAGCTGCTGCTACTCTCAATTTCATGGCGAGTCATGTTGATGCTGTGGCTGAAGGACGGGCTTGGACTGTCAAAAGTAAAGTCTCATCTCGTCGTTAGATGTTAACACAAATTGAATATTATTAAACACTCGAATCAGGTCATTATTCATTTCAACCACATGGAACAAAGAGAGGGCATGCAGTGAACCAAATCCTTAAAGTCCCAATCCAGGATCAAATGTGGATCTATGTACATGTAGAATATTCAATGTAGGTGTGGTTTACTGATGGAAAATAATCTCATTGCAACTTCCAGATAGGAGAAACGTTATATCCTGCTTTGCTCCAGTATTTACAATGTTGCTGCAAGAAAACCATTTCCATCTTCACACTTGTGTTTTGCAGTCACACATGGCCAATCAGGAGCTGAGGAAACAGATCTTCACATTAAATATACAACACGTCTAATTCAGTGTTTTTGCGTCAAATATAAAGATGTTTTATACAGCGCTGCCTCGGGGAGAACAATTCTGGATTGGGTCTTTAATATGGCTGTGGGGGCAGAAAAAGCAGAAAGGATGGTGATAAAATGTTTGAGTGACAGTTTTGAGTGACATATAGAACTTAAGCTCATTATAACCACAGAGGGAGCAAGTTAGTTTCCACCAAAATCAGTCAGTTAACATAAAAGTAAAATCCAAGCCCTTAGATGCAGTAAACAGTACTAAATGAAAGTGACTGATGAAACTAATTTTTTATCACATGGTTGCTTCATTAGTCCTGAAAATAACTTGTTTTATGTGAGATCAGAGCTTGAATAACATCGACTTTTAAGAGTCATCTCCAATCGTCTACTAAAAAAACATACTCTTCGCTTACAGGGCAACCGTAACTAAAAATACTAGTAGCTCTGTAGTCGTCATGCTCTCACCAACTATTTTTCTGGCTGCCTCGCAATGTTTTGGTTGAAATACCACTTGAGATATTCTATGCTCTTTCTAAACCCAACAGATATTTCCCTTTTCTGCTTTATTGTCGTTTAAAACCCCAAGTCAGTAAACCCTCAACTTCTCAGAGCAGCAACTAACACTGCAGAAGACGGCAGGTTCGCTGCCTAGCTGTGCTGTTTTCAATCACTTTGATTTGTCAGTGAAGCCAATCAGCTTCCTGAGATACTTTAACGCGTCGTCACAACCACACCCACGCCGTCCACGCAGCTCATCTGCCAGTAGCAACACAACTGATGTCTTTGCTACAGGTCTGTTGCCCCGTCCAAGCAAATCTGTGACCTCCAGATGTGAGTTCACTGGTCTGGAATAAACTAAATAGGGACTACAGTGGAGTGTGTTTCAAAAACAACATGAAAACATGGGATGGCCATGATTTAAAAAGATACAGCAAAATCAATAATTTATTCAGTGATATTCTCTTTGGGTGCGTGACATTTCCTGGAGAGGATCTTGTGTTCAGTGAGAATGTTTCCAACTAGTACATTTTAAGTTTTTAATCGTCCCAAAGGCTAGAGGGCAACACAACTTGAAGAGGACAAATAGATCATCAAAAGATAACATCTGTTACAATTCTGATGCATAGCAAAGTCCTCATGTTCAACAGTCAAATGTGATTCCACTTTGTTAAAAAGGGGAACCATCTACTCACCATGAGACTGTAACATTTTGGAGACTTCCACTGGTTTCCCGCTCTTCTAGCTCCGAGCAGCTCGTTGAACGTTCGTCCCTCGATACGGTATATACACATACTAGAGAGGAATGTCTGCATGTATGTAGGCCTGACATGGCATGCGTGAAATGCATGATAACATATTTACTTTAGTCATGTGTATGAATGATTATATAATTATGATACAAACATTTACAAATTTGGAAAAAAAGTTGATTGTGCCTCAAGATCCCCTTCCATGCAAAGAACATTAGAGATCCTCACAATACACAAGCTCTTTTCTAATTTGACCTCATGCTGGAGATCAGTTGCAGTACTTTACATCTTATTACACCGTCTCTAGCCTTAGTGAGAAAACAGGGTGTCCGCGCTGATATAAGAAGTGACCTGTGACCATTTTTATAAGGCATTAGATTTGTTCAGGACCAAGAGGACTAGTAGTAGGGCACTGCTTTTTGACTACCTATGAATTGTAGAAAAATGTAAGGAATGAACATGAGTACAAATCATGAGTGTGCTGCACCAAGAACAACAATGAAGACAGTTTCGCCATTAAAAGAACGCTTTTTCTACTTTGGCAAAAAATAAAATGATTTTTTTTAAACGTAGCTTTCATGAGAGTCTTTGACAGTTTTTTGTTCATCAAAGGCATCTTTGTTTGGAGTAGGTACATTACTTCAGAGTCCCACTGAGTCAGCAAAAGCACAGCCAATACCAAACCTCCTCTACATTCCTGTCCTTATCAGGCTTTCTCTAAAATCAAATAAGAGCGCTGGAGCAGCTCTCACCTCTGGCTGTGGCTCAGATTCCCAGTGAAACATGTTACCTTTAGCCAAGATTCACAGATTTCTCTAGTGATTGAGATCCTCTGGTCAAGTCTTTGGCTTCCTTGCATTCTCCTCTGTGTGAGCGTGTATGAGATTACAGCACTGTGCAAACTAAATGGAACACACCCTAAACCAAAACAACAATTGGCCTTTTAGTCTGTGAAAAATTATCTTTCACGTAGGTGAAAAAGAGAAAAATAGTAATAACGTTTCTTTAGAATGCTGAGAGCTGTGCTTCACGCTGCATCTCTTATCTCAGGCTATTTCTTTTATTCTGCGCATGTAATCATGCAGTTCCTCGGGGTCTTGAAAGCCCATATCCTGGCAAACCCACTGAATGTCCTCTTCATCTGCAATGGGGATGGAGTTATAGGGCAGCTCCTCTGTGGGAAGGGTGGTAAAGGTGGTAAACTTGACTCTCTTGCGCTTGGAGGTGGGTGAACTGGCCTCCTCGGCGTTCTCCTTTGTAGAGCCCCCAGAGCTGCCATCGCCCCGCCCGTGCACCTGACTTTGAACGCTAGTCTGGGAGCTGCCACTGCTGTGGTGGTCCCCATGGCAGCAAGTCTGTACGCCCTCCTGAGGGTTACTTGGACTTTCTACCTGCTGTGGTGACAGATCACACTGGGCCCTCAGTGGCTGGCCATTTCCCAGGAACACCCAGTGGTGGGAATGGTCCATGTTGGCCTGACCCTCGGGCGGGATCCGCTTGTGGCGGTATTTGAGCACGAAGACGATGCAGTTGATGAGAAAGACTAAGATGGCCAGACAGAAGACTCCTAGAAGAGCATACATGCCGATCTCAAGGTCAGTCATATTACGAGGCGAATGCACAAAGTCTTCTTCCTCCTCCTCATCACTCTCAGTCGGTCGCTCCTGGTTGCTACTGGTGGGGAAATTGGTGTAATCTATGGGAACGCTGGCAGGCTGCTCATTGGACGTCTCGTAAATTCTTCCACTGATGTTCGGATCAATGATTGGACGCCTGGTAATGGGTGTCAGCTCTATCTCGCCCTCGGTGGTGGCCTCTTCCTCAGAATCTTCCTCTGGGCCAAAGCGGACCTTGACATAAACTGCAGCAGATGCGATGACGCTTTTGCGTTTGGTCTTCTGGCAGGCCTCACAGATGGTCATCTCTAAACGCACCATCTCACCAGAGCCCTCCCCTTCTGCCACCAGCACAGGCCAGCGTTGCTGAGGCTCCTGGGATACCGACACAACTCTGTCATCCAGTGTGGACGCATTAAGGTTGTAGTCTTTAGGATCAAAGTAAGTCAGAGTGGCAGCTGTGTTGTCACTGAAAAGCATCCAGATGGACAAACTGGCCTCCTATCAGACAACAAAGAGAAAAATACAGTTTAGATTGGATGGTAAATAGAGGGGAAGAAATCACTAGATTGTGATTATTAGGTACTGTTGGCTTTGTAATGTTCACAACAGAAAAGCTGTATTTACTTGAGGTCTCAACATATTGAAATGTAGCTATATGACTATCCTTAAAAAGGGTAAGCAATGAAAAATTGTCTTTGACTTTTATGAACAACTTTTGCAATTAAAGTGGGTTGATTACTGTACTAATACAGTTAAAATGAGGATCGTTAAGGATTTTGCAGAGCATCAATTGCTCTCCGAGCTTTGAATGTAAGAGAAAATCCAATTAGTGTGTGTGCCCAAAAAAACTGATGGAGAAAATTATGCTCACTAAGGAGAAACAAGTTCAACATGTCTTCAATTTAACTGTACTGAGTTTCAAAGGTCTACCAGTAATGGTGCAGCACGGGTTTTTTCTTACACTTCAAAAGATTATTGAATGCCCCACACCCCCATAAAACATAAAACACACACAAAGAGACACAAAAGTACTACAAAAAGAGGCAACACAACGACAAAGAGACACTAATAACTAAAGACAAGGTAACAAAGACAGACAAAACAATGTGCGAAGGAAAGATGGTGGGAGCCTTTTGCATGACTGCTCAGGGGCCCATTGTCTAATCATATGAGGTTGAGGGACAAATTTCGGGCAGGAAACTTTTGAACAGCGTGAAGGACAAAGGTGATAATAATACAATCCCTCCCTCCAACAGAAACGTTACATATATTTGCTGATTATTTCTGAAAGTAAATAACAAAAACATTCTGTGACTTTGCCTTGTGTTTATGTCTATCAACAGAATATTTCAATGTCTCAGATGGCATTTCTTCGTGGCATTGACCGGGATTTGAATATCTGTTCCCAACTGAGCCTTTGAAGATGTGGACTTTCTCCAATACCTAAATCTCCAGAGCATTGGTGAATATCCGCAGTACCCCGTGCTCGGTACAAGCTTTCTGATGTGCACACCAGCAAGCCACTTTCAAACGCGGAGGCAGGAATGAGTGAGTTGTCCTGAAGGCTACAGCTCGGCTCTGCAGCACAGACAGATAACGCAGCTGCCAGCGCTTCGAATGACGAGCTCATGTCCAGTCTCTTTGTGTTTGTTGTGTGTGATCTCCTCATTTTCTATTTTCTATCACTCTTCACCGTCTATAGTCCTCTACGGAACCGGATAAGATGAATTCCTGCACGGCGGTTTCTTGATGACATTCATCTGCCGCAGAGTAAACCTGCAACACTGGCGTGCGTCTATGTAATGAAGGCTGTGTTTGACGGTCTCGTTTGTTCACAGCTTGCTTAAACGTAGGCATCCAACCGTTAGGAGAGCTGACAAAGAGGGAACAATTTCCTTCCAAAACACAGTCAGACAATTTCCGGCTCCTTTTTTCTTTGCAAAGGGCAGATGCACACACAGACTTTTCAGGACAAAAAGCCCCTTCGGTCCAGTTTGGGAGAAGCCAACTCTGTTGTGACGATATCCCACTGAGAGCCAAACCTCTATCATCTCAGCATGAAAGCGTGAAGACAGCCTTTGATATGGATGATTTAAATAATACATTCAATACGACTCTGCTACGAAAGAGCTGATATAGGGAGAAACTATATACTCTCCACCAACCAGCCATGTTGCAGTTTACATCCATGTCTGTCCAAAATATCATCACGTCATCATTTTATCCTTTTAGACATTCTTGTGAAATTGTCAAAATTAGCGTATACTTTCTTGAGTTATGAACAAAAATGTGTATTGTGAGGTCACAGGGATCTTTGACCATCACATTCTTATCAGTTCACCCTCGAGTCCAAGTGGACGTTCATGCCGAAGTTGAAGAAATTCCCTCCAGGCGTTCCTGAGATATCCCATTCACGAAAGTGGTATAAAAAGAGGCATAAAAAGGCAGAGTGGGTGTTTTGACACTGACAAAACAATTGGCACATTTTTTTAATGCCGATCCAATGCAGGAAAGTTAAGCATTGCTAGAAAGAGAAACTTTTTCAATGAAAATAAAAATGCGACCGGGGCATCAAAGACCCGACGAGATCCAGAGGGATCTGTCGATATCATTTCATGCATCTAGTTTACCAAACGGTTTCCACAGTAATCTCTGCATTTTCATGAAGTAATGTGCATTAGGAGGAAGTTTCCTACATTTGGTTTCTCTCTGATTTGTGCTTCATGGCATCAGGGAACGTACATGTGGATGTAAATTGAACATTAAACAGCTTGCATTATAAAATATGCATATGCAGAAAAACACTCCCCTGGAAATATTATTCTGAGAAATTTGCATCAACTTGAGATGTAATAACATGATCCAGATTCATAAGTACCTTATTAAGTCGCTAATTTAAGCAGAGACAGTGAGTAAGTCACTGCAACAGAAAAAGGTCTGTGTTGAACCGTCAAGTACTGAAGCCTTCAGTTGTGAAAGACTTGAACTCACAGAATAATGCAAAGAGACCTTGATTGTCTGACTCCCCCCGTCCATATTTTATGTGTTTCATTCATTTCTAGTAATAGAGGACATTTGGAAAGTTTTCCTGCGAAACAGAATCAAATGGTTTGAAATAGCTCCAGCACTCCTCTGAGAGCTTTGCCGGCAGAGGAATTGGCTGCCTTTTATGGCCCGGCCCCGGAGAGCACTTAGGACAATACATTACAATAATTAAATTTCAAGGTGGCCAAGAAGCGGAAAGCAAGAAAAATTGGAATTTAATGCTCGCTTCTCTCTCACTGATGCTTGATGTGTTTGTCGTTGCATTTTTAGCAACTTGCGGGCCAATGAAAGGGCAATGCAGGGAAAGGACTCAGACGCACGCACACTTCTCCCTCGCTGCGGCTGGCCAGCCAATTAATTCCTGGCAGCAAACTGCAGAGATCCTCACTCCTGTGTGAAGAAACATGGGCAAAGAAAGAGCACACATTCTGCCTTTCTTTTCTCCACCCAGACGTCTTCCTTGCTTCGCAATGAAATCATTTCTGAGAGATGCATTTGGACGTATCAGAAGTATTCACGCCAGGCCTGGTTAATATGAAGGTTGTAATAAAATAGCACCAAGGATACTTATTAGTTCACTGCAGCTGCCTTTATCTGGCGTCCTTGCTAACAATGCTGGCTGCCTGGAGCTTAAAAGATTTAGCTGAGAAATAATTTTATTACTTAGAAGTGAAACTAGTGCCTGTTTGTTGATATAGAGACACTGAGGGGATTTACAAGTAAACTTCATCTCACCACTCTGGAGACAGAAATAAGGAAACACACTGAGTACTAAGTGTAAGTGAGGCATACGCAGCCGCAATACTACATGTACACGCTACTGCATTTGGTGATCGGTGGTTAAATGTATAGAACGGTCGACGGTTTTACGTTTAGACCTGAGGTGGTCAAACTGCGCCTTGCTGTTTGTTTGAATGTTCAATAATAAAATAAACTAGAACATGGCTTGAGCATCTTTCTAATAATCTGCATTGTATGTACATTACAGATCCTAGTTTAAATACTAGAGGGCGACCACATTAAGTGAAATTGTCTCTGTCTTAACCTCTTGGCACAGAAACCAAATGTTTACCACTTTTGCCCGTTCTGTTTGTTACATCTTAATATTAGAATTACAGATTTACATCTTACATTTAAATGGTAAATGGACTGAACTTGAATAGGTCTTCCAACTGCTCAAAGCGCCTTAACACCACATTTGCATATTTAACATTTAGTATTTATTAGTATTTTGATACAAAGAGATATCCAGAATTCCTTCTGTAAAAACCTTTGACTATAATATGTCAATAAAATGAAAGAAGACCTTTGAACTCTTGTCCAATGTTCACATTTCTGTTCTGGAAATGTCTGAAAATGATTTTATAAGTGAATGCACCATTTGCATATTTCAGAAAACTTGTAATACAAATAATAATTGTCCTAATGTCAGTAATCAACTGGGGGAGATCCATGGGGATATCTATTAGTTCATTCTTTAACCCTATTCATCTGGTGAATCTCCCCATGAAGCACGCCCAGAACAGAAAGCAATATTTCTGTCATTTGTAACTTTACATATGTACAGATTTACACATCACATCATACTATTTTAACTTGGCCCTTTGGCTATGCACCGTATCAGAGATTAAAAGTATATCACTCATTTAAATGACATTTCAGAGCAGCAGATACAGAGATACTGTTTTGCAATATGTTGAGTTTTCTGATCTCCAAACACTTGAAATCTACGTATCCATTATTGTTTGTCCACCAACCTAAAGGAGGATTTTGAAACATTTCGAACAATATTGGTTCATTTGATTCTGCTGCTGAGATTTAAAAAGGCTTTGATGTGTTGTTTCATGTCCTGAATCAGAACAGGTCTTGAACATGATGTGTGCTGCCAGAACAACAACAGTCAACACAGGCGCTGACTCACGAGGTAGCTTTTTAGCTAAAGTCCCCAATTAGGATGAATTTTTCAGTGAAATGCAGCCGACTCGGCTCCAGCGTCATTATCATCCGTCTGAGTTTGTGCTTTGAAAGTAGCCCGAGCGCTTGTTATTTACCTGAGGTAGTCTGCTGCTAACTTCTCCATCAGCGCACACACACACACACACACACAGCCTTCATAAATATGGAGCAAGGGTTGTCGCGCCACCTGCATATTTTTACGATTCTGTGTTGTGTGTTTTGCCGACTACCAAAGCTGCCTGGAGTATTCACAGTGCATTCTAGAGCCTGACATTTATTGATTCATTTATTGTGGCAGTTTGAAAAGAATGACGCACATGAAAGATATTTTTTTAGGAGGACATTGCATTGATCTACATCCCTGGAGACTTCACCCTTACCTTCACCATAATCTCTAAATAGCCTAAAATCTCAGTGCAGGATGATGGTTTTGCCCGTAGTGTCTCCCCCGTTTTAACACTTCAGTTAATCCTTCCTCCACTAATATGAAGCAGCGAAGGGAACATGATTGAAACAGCGACTGTTGCGTGATGATGATGAGTTATACCTGCTTGGGAGCCATGAGCGTCTGGACGCCGGTTGCCTTGGCCACCATGGTGTGGCTGTTCCCGGGGCTGGGCTGCAGTGACAGGGTCAGGCCGGAGATGCCGTGAACACGCATCTCTGTGATGGAAACCTTGTCATCCGTGACCGAGAATGCAGACTCTCCCAACACCGCATCCACTGCCAGCGGAGACTCCACCTGCAGAGAGAAGATGCTCTTTTATTGTGCCTCTACATGACGGAGGGACATCGTTTGAGTCCAGGAGAGACAACAGCTTTATTGTTTTTCTGAAGCTCATAAAGCCGATGACAAACCCATTTTGGATTAAAGTGCTCTGTGCTGTTGTTTGTTCCAGCGCGTCCTGGATCCATATGTCAATGCCTCTCTGTCTGTCATGGTGAAAAAACAAACACTCGAGATGGAATCCATCAACAACCAGACGACGAGGTCCAGTGTGAAGCAGCCACGCGCAAGCTTTCAGAGTGACGCTTCAACAGAAACACTTGTGCCCATCTAAGTGTCACCACATGAAATACCAAAACTATTTGAAGCTGCGCTCACATCTCCGGGTAATCCCAGTCGTTTGCCGGGCCTCTGCACTTTGAGCACTTTTAAAAGATCATCATTTCACTTTGCCACCGGAACCAGAGGTCACGAGGGACTTGAACAAAGAGGAGAGCCGTTCAGCGAAGCAGTGGTCTTAGTCCTCGGAGTCAGATGAAGGAAATCTTTTCCAACTTCATCCCAAGCAGTTTCCAACTCCAGTTTCAACCAAGCATGCTAAGCTGGAGCAGTCAAGGGTTAGACAAGCTTCCCCAATCATCGTCAACCGAAACCTGGAAACAGTTCTGCTCCCAAACTCCAAACATGATTAGAAACCTTAAATCTGATGTTACGTTCACGTTTGAAAAGTAAAATAACTATTAACTAAAGTTTATTCCATTTATTAATGATGATTATTATAAAGTTGTAGTTTCTATCTTAACACTGTATATAGAAACCCAGTTGCTATGACCACATACTTTGGTGCAATCATTTGTCGTGTACATTTGCGTGATGTAATTTGTCATCTAAAAATAAACCCCCTAATAAACACACACACACACACCCACACACACACACACACACACACACACACACACACACACACACACAC